CTTTGAGAATCACTACTCTGGTCTAAAAGAAAGCAGGGCGGGAGAGATGCGTGTTGCTGCAGACTTAAATATGTAAACAGTTGTCAACATAAGTTCTGGAAGTGATTCCATGACTGCGACTTCTGATATATTCCTTTTTAAGCTGATGAACATTCCCACAGTCAGGTGACACTGGGGACAGGTGGGGCTGGCTCCCCCACCCAGCCTACTTCCGGAAAACAAAGTCTCATTATCACCAGCCCCAGGCAAAGCTTCCAGGCCACAAAGAGTTGTCCTTGGCAGTGTCCTGGAATTCACAGCTGCCTCACCATGCCCTGTTGGGGGACATGGCTGAGATCTGAGAACCAGGAAACCTTATCCACAAAAGCAATGTATCCCTTGGCAACACATCACACTGGGGCGCTCCTCCGCTCCGGTTTCAAGTGTCAGGTCAGAATTCCAGAGGGGTGTTGCCGCCCATCTGATTGGGGGAAATGTAGCTATTGGCATTGCTTTATCTGTGAGTCCTACCCAGCTAGATAAGGTCTCGCCAAACCCGCTTGGTACACTTCAGTGATAAATTTCTCTTCTCCCAGGGTGTTACCTATGAAGAGACCCAGAATCAGAGAAAGTCAGGACTGGAAGGGATCTCTGAGCTTATCTAACGAATGCAGGTCCGTGGTTCTACTGATGGGAAATTGACACGCAGAGAGATGACTGAGGCAAACCCCGTCCCAGAGACCACCGTCTAGCCCCACGGGAGCCCATCAAGGAAGTGCACCTGGGCATCTCTGTTTAAGATCCAGCCAGGGGAAATGGACACCAAGTGCAGAAGAGTTTGTGCTCATCAGTGAACGCTTCCCCATCCCTGAACCTTTTCGTTCTTTTCTCAGGTTCTGACCTTTCCCTGACCTTGCCCAAGCTATCAGGAGCATCTGGAGTCAAGTGTCTGGAAAAAACATTTCATGATACAGCATTAGGCATAGCATCCTTTTAAAAACAGCCTCGTGGTCCATTATTTATCCCAAAGCAATTCATCTCTGGTCATAAAATATCAGGAACACTTGCTGCTTGCCTGGAGTGAGGGCGAGAGGCTTTCGGAACCAGGGAAGTGAGGCAGAGTAGAGCTCTCTGCACCAGACTCCCCTCCCTTGGTGTTCAGGTTACGCAAATTCTCCAAGCTCCCGGCTTCCTTATCTATAGAAGGGGGAATATATTATGCAATTGACTGAGGATCAAAGCAGGTCACCTGTGCTGAATCTAGCACAGAAACTGGAATTCTGAAGGATCTGATCACCTCTGTTTCCTCTCCCACCCTTTTCTTCAATCCACCCTGTGCTCTAGGCCAGCCCTGGCAGCAAGGGGAAGGCTGAGGAGTCAACTGCAAGCAGCCCCGATCTTTCCTGATCAATCTTGGGGGACCTGGTAAAGCCCTGCTCTGAATGAAGTCACTATTTTATGTTTCTTTTGATCTGTTCCCTCCACCCCTATGACCTTGGGTACAAAATAGAATCTGTGAAGGGTTTGGATAATTCGCTCAGGGAAGCTTACGTCTAACAAAACTGTACAAAGTTTGCCAAACCATTTTCTTCCCAAAGTAAGCAATATATCCCCAAAGCTAGGCATTTCCCCCATCTATTTTGCGCGACGTGCTTGAATTAACTCTGAATGTGCCCAAGTTACCCAAGGTTGATCCCTCTGAGACGGCCCAAATTTAAATTAAACACTGGTTTGCCAGCAGGGTAAAATCCCGGCCAACCATGGCTAATTCCTGCTTTGCTTAAAAAGTCCGCTAGCACCCCTGGGCATAAACCCAGGAAACAGAGGTATTGTTTGCCATCCCCAAACAGAGCTATTATGTTCTTAGCTCCCTAATCTCTTTTTCGAGACAAAAGCACAGCAGCAACACAGTAAATTGTTCCTAATTCGAGTAGTTGGTTTAAAACGCCCTTCGTCTCCCCAGACTCCAGGGTGGCTCTCAGGTGTACCTAAGCTTCCAGCAATTTGTCCAGGGTTTATTTCTTGGTCAGAGCCCGCCCCCTGATGGTCGATCAAGGTAAGTACAGCACAGCTCTGCAGCCTTCTTAAAAGGCAAATCATCTTTCCACGTAAGAATCATTTAGAAAGAAATAGATTCGGGGTTTTTACCAAAAATCTGCATCAGGCTGGGAAACATTCTAGGTGCTACAAAATGACCGCTCCCTCAGCCCTTCATTTGTGCTGGAAGCATCAGTAAAACAGGGAGAAGATTAGTCTTTCTAAAACAGCTGGTTACAGGTCTGGAAGGGCTTATCCACCGCAAGGCCAGGCAAAGTCTAAACATGACTCTAGCCTGTGTATTCAATGTGAAATTTCCCACTAGGGGGCTTTCTTCCTCCGGGAGCCTCCTCTATTCATACGTCAGTGATCTGCACATTCGAACTGGAACGGGCAGGTCGGGGTCTTTGTCTTTCTTGACGCTCAGTAGTTAACCCAGGTGTTGTCCTGGAAATCCTTCTTGAAATGCTTTCCTTAGCTTCTGGGACACCGTGTTCTCCTGGTTTCCCTCCTACTTCACGGGCTGCTCCTTCTCTTTCCTCTTCCCTGAATCCTCCTCCTCTTCCTACTTCTAAATGATGGGTGCCCCCTTGCTCAGTGCTTGGACCTACCCACTTCTTTCCCTGTATCTGCTAGGTGATCTCATCTGGTCTCATGGCTTTAAGCACCGTCTCTATGCTGAAGACCCTAAGAGTGTACCTCTAGCCCAGATCTTCCCTTGAGCAATAGATTTGTATACCACGTGGTCTAATGGACATCTCAAATTGAACATCTCATAGGCATCTCCAAGACATGAAGCAGCTGACCAAGGCTACATAAGCTTGTGGCCAAGGAAATCAATCAAGGTGACTTCCGACTTTAGAATGTCCTGAGCTGTCTCCGATCACACACACACACACACACACACACACACACAATTTATATTTAACCGAAGTCATATGGATATGGTTTCAAAAGTCAAACAGCTCTGTAATTCCCAGCTCACCAGAGACAATCTCTTTCAAAGGACTTAATTGATTCTTCTGATATTTCTATATTTCTAAATAGCATGGTTATAATGCTACTTCTTGGTTTCTCAGTTTTGTTGATTTCCACAAACAAAAAACATAAACTTAGATCTCTTCTGCCACCCACCCAAATGGACTTCTTATTCTCCACCTTCCCAATGTAGTTATATTGTTACTATTTTGGTTACGTCAAAATCATTTCCCGTTATCCACACTTGGTGTGCTCTGTTCACAGCTGAGCCAGGTGGTATGTTTCATTGTTCTGCCTTTCTTTTTCTTTTTTTTTAATTGCTTGGATTTCTGTGTTCTTATCAAAAATTCATCCCCAAGCCACCTCAAAGTATGTAAGTCTTTTTCTAAATTAAAAACATTCAAGTATATCCAGTATCCTATCATTTTCACCTTGTTGAGTAACTGCCCCTGCGGGTCCAGTCTTGACCTGCCCCATGGCTGACGGCACCTTCCACTTGGACTCCCCAGCCTCCAGAAATGTAAGCAAATAAATTTCTGTTGTCTAACCACGGTCTGCGGTGTTCCATCACGGCAGTCTGAGCTGACTAATACACTCCTGCAGACGGCATTAAGTGTGGGCGTGACCTCCTCCTGTAATCACAGGCTGCTGAGACGTAGGACAACAGGGATGCGTGTGAAATAGTGACTAGATGACGCCTGAGCGCCCTTACAGACCAAGGGGTCCAGGATTCTAATTACACTGAAATAAACAATGCCCATCCTGCTAGTCTGACTTAACGTAACCCTCTCCTTACTGTAATTCGACTTCCATGACTACTGTCCTGACACAGCCGTTAGACCTCCCCGTGGCCCTACTCACATTCTCTAACCTCCCTGAGCCTTCGTTTCAGCAGCTGTAAAACGGGTTAATAACAGGCCCCCTGCACAAGCTTACTGTGGAAATTACATGAGTTAATAGATGCGAAGCATTTAGAACAGTGCCCGACACTTCGTGAGTGAGCACTCTGTACAGATTGCTTCTTGTTTTTGACTTACCATCATCATCATCACCACAATTATTATTGGGAGAAATCGATGCTTTACTTTACAAAATACCAGTGCAGATTTCCAGGAGACTCTGGAAACAAGGATGAATCAAAGGGCTTGGTTCTTCTGGGCACTGTGGTCAGAGCTGAAACTCAGGTGAGCGCAGGTGATGGCAGTGTGGAAGGGAAATGTCTCCTCCTCTCTTATTTGTCTAATGCTCTGTAGCTCATTCAAAAGCGTCACCAGTTATACCCACAAATAATTTCCAGAAAGTGCCGACAGTGTATTATGAAAGAAAACCAGGGTGTTTTAAGGTCTTTCTGGAAGCTGACAACCAAACTGTCCCTCAATTTGCCTCTTACCTAGAGAGAATTCTGGGAGTCACGAATCTAGCATCTGATCTCATAAAGCTTGCTTCGGATCGCAGGTAATTTTCAAGGCTGTTACATCCTAAAAGCCCCCAGTACTCCTTCACGGGCTTCACAGTCTTTGGGAAGTCACTTCAGCTGTCCAAGCCTCCGTGTCCTCACCTCTGTGCTAGGTCTGCCTGGACACCTCACGTCACTGGATGGGGGGCCACGTGAAAGTGATTTGCAAACTGAAAAATACTGCGTTACACATGAAATCACATTGTTACACTTCCTAAGTGAGGACTACAAAGCTACCTGAAATGGACACTTCCCATTGTGTTTCTGATTATCTTTCAAATTTAAGTGACTGAACCTAAAAAGTAAAAATAAGCAGAAAATCCAACTGGAAAATCTGGAAGAGGGAAACACCTTTCCTCTAGAAAATTTTCACCGATGACTTTTTTTTTAATAAGAAAGCAAACGTGGTCCATCAATGTATCTAAAGAGATTTCACAACATTTCCTTACTCCAGTTCAGATGACTGGAATTGCCACGTGCATAATGCTATTTTATGAAAAAAGGAAAATCATAGTTTGTGGCAGTGAGAGGCCAGTACAACTGATGTAATTTCCAACCAAATTTATTCTACATTTATGAAGTGATTCCTTTGAATCAAACCACATGTAAATACATCTCTCCATTTCATTGACGTTAAAGATGGTGGTCATGAAGCCATTGAAATCTCCTTACTTTATTCCCGGACTCTTGAGTCAGAAAACTTCATCTAATATTGAACATAATTTCTTCACTGATGTTTAGCTATGTTGATTTGCTCCAAAAAATTTTCCTGGATTTTACAGTTCCCAGCTTTATTCAACTGATGAAAACTGCGTTAGCATGACGTCGCTGGAGGACTCTCCAGGATGAGAAAGGGCATAATTGCCTAAGAGAGGAAAAAAATGAGAATCATTGCTGCTGTGTTGGAGTCAAGCATGAGACCATGATGAATGTGATTCTCTACAACTCTGGGCATACAATGTGTGGTTGGCTGCCAGACACAGCATTTTCTTAATGCCACAGACACACCTGTCAGACAGCTCTCATTTCAGAAGAGTAGCACTGTATTTTTCAGATGTTGCTGAGAAATGAGATAAAATATTTGAGGTCACCGAATGTTATAGCTGAGAGGAACCTTACTGATCTCTTAGCTTTTCATTTTACTGATGAGGAACAAACATCCAAAAAGATAAAGAGATGTATTTTTTTTAAAAAAGCCCTCAGGCTGGCTGGTGGCAGTGATAACAGGACCCAAGTCTTCGGGATGAGGATCCCAAACATCTGGGGAAGGAAGTGTCTTTAAAGTTCAGACACTGGAACTTCATCTGAAATTCAAATAATTTTGATTGGAATCTAAAGTGAGTTGCCCATTCTCACCCTTAGTGAGGCTATCAACACAATTTAATGTGAAGTGGGACTCACGCCCTTTGGAGTGTGACTGCAGTTTAGTTTAACGTGTGATGGAAGAGCTTCTCCTGAAGCCCCAGGATGCAACCCTCTCCTCCACGAGAACAGCGACTATGTGTGATGCTTAAATATCTTCACGTTTTTCCGGGAGCTGAATATCACTGACTTTAGCAACAGCCAACATATAAGCATAGGAACAATACATGTCGTAAGCAGAAGGGAACGTGGCCCCTCACCCACGGCAGGTGGTGGCTCCGGTGGCTCCTCCTTCCTCAGGGACACTTTAGGGAGGAGGATATGTCCAAATTCGGGGCACAGGCACCTGGCCCCGGGCCCAGCACCCAGCAGCTGGCCCAGAGGCGAGATTCTCCAGTAAGGACACAACTGGTGTGAGTCTAACCACTTCCTTCACCCCATGCCCTCCACGCTCAGTGTCACCAAGTCATATCACATCTAGCTGAGGAAATGGCGGTGACTTGTCACAAAGCTGAAAGGGAGCCTTGCTGGTCTCCACAAGTGTCCAATCCCCAGCCCTGTTCTGTCAGCCCTCCGTGCCATCCGGACGAACTCGGGACACACGGCTGGCCAACACGCACACACTTCTCATGTGAACTTTTTAAAAGCTGTCATTGAATTTTCCTCACATGATGTGTTCATAGTCTTTATTCCTACCCTTTATAACCTTTGGCTGGTTGTAACTCACCTTTGTGTTGGAACGGGTTGAAGGTCTTTTCAAATTTGGGTTTGGTGGAAACATCTGATGGGTTTTGCTGCACAAAAGAAAAACAAGTCATTCAGGCATTGAAAGTATTCTTTTAGTGTCAGTCTACAATGCCCGATGTCTCAGTGCCACGAACAATCCTAAATTCCATCCACCTAGGGCACTGTTCTCTTTTCAAGAAATTAGAGGACAGTTGACCCCTGAATAATATGGGTTTGAACTGCACAGGTCCACTTACATGCAGGTTTTTTTTCAATAAATATGTACTATTCAAACAACAAATATGACACAATCTGTGGTTGGCTGAATCCATGGATGGAGGACCGTGGATATAGAGGGCTGAGTGAGATGCAGATTTTCCACTGCCTGGCAGCCCGTGGAGGGGGCGGGTACTTAACCCCTACACTGTTCAAGGGTCAACTGTTCTCACCGCCGTATGCTTTCTTCTGCTTTAATCTATTTAAAATGCCAAAAAATTAAATTAAATTAAATTAAATGCCAAAGAACTTATTTTCAAGTGAATTGTGTATTCCTGTGTATTCTTACAACTTTTAACAAGTAGAAAACAGTTCTAAGGAAGATGTTATCCTTTTTTGTGTCCATCTTCACATTTCTTCAGTTCACACATTTATCACTAGAACAGGAACCCACGGAGGAAAAACAATACTTCAAATCGCTTGTGTTCAATTCTGTAGTCACTGGAGCAGAGGCGGCACAGAGTTGAAAAATGTAAAGACTGAAGTAAGATATTTAAAATAAAGAACACTTGCCTCTTGGGAAAGATACAAGTGTTAAGGTACATTATAACCTTGTCTCATTCATTAATTGATTTGTTCATTAATTTAACATCTCCTATTGAATGTCACTGTGTCAGGCAATGTTTTGAGCACAGAGGAAATAGAAAGGAGTAAAGAAAAGTTCTACCGCGTGCTACAGTCCATGTCATGAGGAGGCTAAATCAGAACAAAACAAACAAATGTTTGTTATATGCAGTATGTAGCCCAGTGAGTTTCCTGATTTTCATTAAACTATGCGTGTCTACCCTACACTGAGCTCTGGGGGAAAAAAATGATCATAGAGACAAGAACGAAAAATGTCTGAAAATTGCAAAGCAAAAGAATTGCTTTTCTAGAATTCAGGGCTCTGTATACACATAATTCTATAATCCTAAAGAAAAATCCTGAGGTCAGGATCATTGCATTTAAAACCGCATCCTGCCCTACTTAGAAGAATCTAAGGTTGCAACATGCTCAGAGACTCCGCATGTTCTGGGGAAAGACAGCTTCTTCAGGTGCATGCATAAATTTCTAGGGGTTTAAATTGTTAGTCAAGAGAACCTGAGTCACTAGAACTAAAAATAAATCAATCCCTTCTTTGTGGAGGGGGCGTCTGTAGAGGCCACTAGAGTTTGACTTCTGATGTGGAGTCACAGAGGACGTGACCAGGGAGGATGGGAGGGCCAGGAAGGGGTCCTGAGCCCACAGCAGAGAGAGGAGCCTGAGAGAAACCCCATGTGGGTCCGCACAGTGTGATGGCGGCTTGGGGAACGGTCCTTACTGAGAACACCGCCGGCTGCTTCTCCTACTCCCTTCAGCCAACTATCCAAATTTCACTGGTCCTTTCAAGACCCCTGCTTCACCATCCCTCTACCCATCCCTTAGTGGATGGCCCTGAGTCTTACTTGAAAAAAAAAAAGGTAACCAGGTCTGAATTCTCTCAACATCATGACCCCAATCTGTACCTGTTGCTCTGTCTGCATCCCTGATACTTCCTGTGTCTAATCTCCACCTTCAGTCCTCCGTCTGTTTTCCCAGGAAACTTCTGTCAATGACCCTCCCCCCTCACTGGTCTTCAGACTCTCTCTGATGGCTCGTCCCGTCCAGCATGTGGACTTGCTCACATCCTGGTGTCTCAGCTCCACCCTGACACTGTGGTCCTGCATCCACACCTGGTTACGACCCTTGCTCTCTGTTCACTCCCAAGCGAGTTTCTTGGCAGGAGCCTTCATCCCAAGTGTTACCTCTCCCTGTCTGCTCATCACTCTGATCTAGGTGCAGCTTTTTCATTCAAATTCCCTCCAAAGATTACAAGTATGCCTCTTTTCTTCTGCTGAAAGTGCATTTATCTTAAAGCAAATGAGCCACCTCACCAGAAAACAAAATCTCCCTTTGTCACCTGACTTGAAAATGAAATTGCAAGAGGGACACAAATCCAGAAAATACAGAGCCCTCATTGACTGCCGCTGCCTGCTGCAAAGTGCCCGCACTTTACATTTGAAACAGGGAGAAAAAACACTGTCAGGCATCTTCACTTTGGGTTTTGTTTTATTTTACTTTTGAATGTTTTTCTCTCTCTGGCTTTCCAATGAGAGAAATTCTCACTGCCTGCTTTGTAGGGTGGGGAGTGTCCTGTGCTTGCTTTACTAATTAAAGCTTTTTCTTGAATGCAGTCACCTATGCCCTAACTCCCCCCTTTTCGAAACAGCAGAGAATGTTCCATTTGTTTCACATTTTCTGGTTCAAGGGATTTTAGTTCTTCAAGATATAAAATCAGAACCCCAGAATGTGAGAACTTCTGCTTTGAGTAACCAGTCCAACACTTTTTTTTTTTACAGTTTGAGAACACTGAAACCAAAAGATACTAACTGACTTTCCTAAGATCACACAGCCAGTTTTACTGGGTCAGAAATATGGAGCAGGTCTGCCAGCTCATGGGTCATTGCTTCCTAATTCACAGCCCTTTCCTACAAAATGCAGACCCAGGGAAATTATTTTAATGCTAGAGGCTAATTTCCTCACTGTTTATTTTTATTTCAAAAGGTTATATTATCCCTTGTAAAAAATCTCTAAATATCCATGTAGTTTTTCATGTCCTTAAATCAGTTGATGTTTATCAAACGCGGAACTTTCTGCTTTTTAGAACCCTTTCTGGATGGCCCTCCATGTTGTGCTGAAAGGCAAAAGTTCAAATTAATGTCAAAAATACAAAATAGGGATGCAAGTACTTTTGTTTCAAACTTTGCTCTCCTTACATGGATTACACTTTCGTGCAAAGAATGAAAACAGGAATCCTCCGTTTCCATACAAACTTAGCAGTTTGTAGAAGAAAGAGCCAAAATTTCAAGGGACAAAGTCAGTAACACCTGCGTGAGAGAGAGCGTTTTATAAACTAGAAGTTAGTCAGGATCTCCCCCTCTCCTTTTCTGGAGCAGGAAAAGAGAGACCCAGAAAGTCAGGCAGAGAAGAGAACCCTACTGATTCCAGATCTTGGAAGTCAAGTCAGATTATAGCAAATGCTCAAGAGAACCACACAACCCACGCCTGAGCATCCTCGAAGCTTTCTGCACCTTTGAATTCATTCATTCACTCACTCACTTATTCAACAACTCTTTAGTGAGTACTGACCGTGTGCTGGGCATCGTGACACACACCAGGAATCTAACGGTGACAGAAACTCAAGGGGTTTTACACAAGAGGGGGCTTGCTGTGGGACTGCATCAAGAGAAAAATGCAAGACTGGAACTTTGTGCCTTGCCCGGGTGGCGGCAGGAGATAATTACCTTTGCTGCTTGCTTCCAAGAGCTTAAAGGAGACAACTTGTTAAGTAGCAGCTGTCGCAGCTGGAAGGCAACAAAGAAATATTTGGGAACCACGCATATGCAACTACACTGTGACAAATCAGGAACACAACTGCAGAAGGAAGGCGCTACTTAAGTACTAGTATCTCCTGGAAGTACTTAATAGAGCATAAGCTTGGGTATCTGATGAAAGGATTTCCTTTCTTATTTCTGTTCTTCACCTGTAAACAAATCTAGAGCTAAACAAAGAGCAACAATACCAAAAGCCACAATAATTCAGAATCTAGGCAGGCATTAGTAATTGGCACTAATTGCTAAATTGAAGTTTATCTTTGAAGTGAAGAATTTTTCAACCAAGCGAATGGTGTCAACAACGGAATTATTTAGTCTAATCAAAAAAGAAGCAAAATGCTTCTTTGTAAACAGGAGTTTTGTGCATGTGCAACAATTATAACTGCAGAATATTCTTGTCTTCTTATTAAAACAAAGTCTACATTTATTAGCTTACTGTCTTTACCTCTCTCAACAAAATTGCTCAAAGTTTGGAAAAATAATGATACCAATTTATTTAAATTATTTTTTCTGTTATTTTCTACTTTCATTGTTTGTCCTTCATTAGGAATTTTCTTTAACGGCAGAGACTATGTAATATAAAATATATAAATGTAATATAAAAATATATAAAATTCTAAAAATACAGAAGTAGGTAGACCTTTCAGCAAAGTCTAAGTAAACGGGTAAATTATTTAAAGGAACAAAAATGAATTTACCCCTAAGGAAAGGATTTTTGCTCTTTAATTATTGCCAAATCATAATTTAATTAAGAAAAAATAAAAGTAAAAACAATTTCCTTTTTCACAATAATTACACATTATGTGTTGTGATTAGTTCTTTATAGTTTTATTATCAGCAGTGAGTGTTTAATTCTTTTTTCTCTGGACTAAGCCTGCCTTTGATAAAATCATAGAATTTTATTTAAAAGTACACCTGGGCTAATCTCTTATATATGAATAAGGGCCCCAGGACGGAAAGGGTGGGGAGAAAGGCCTGGGAGGAAGAAAGAAATGAATATACATACCTTACTATCCAAGAGTATTCCAAAACATAAGATGAAAAACCCCTTTAAAAAAAAAAGGAATAAAGCACATGTATTGTCATTTTGTTTTCCAGAAAACAAATCATTTACATTTAATACTATTCTATTATGTTCCCCAACACTGACGTTGTTCCTTGCCTGTCCCCTACTAGGCGTGGGTTCCTTGAAGGCAAAGGCACCGTGTGGCCTCCACGATGCCTGGATTAGCACAAAGCACTCAACTCATTTTTTTGTGGTTGGATGTATAAATTATTGAGTGAATACAGATTCAAACACATGTGGAGCCTCATTTTCCCCTTTGTGTCGTCCTAAACCCCAAACAAAGAGCTTCCACTTGGCTCTAAATCTTAGTCTTCCTTTGGGCATTAAACCACCATTTACTAAGCATGTATGGTGTCAGCTGGCACTGAGGTCCAATCCCAAGGCCAAGTGGAGGAAGTAGACCCAGATCAGCATCTTTTCCATCGCCTCCAGCTCTTGGGGGACCCTTGGTGAAGTCATTCTTGGACCCTGAAATCCTCCTCCCTGCCAGAGCACCCCCAGTTGTTGCCTGTTGAGACAGCCTGTCACCAAGGGCCCGCCCCGGACTGGGGATCCCTAGCCTGTCACGGTTTGCTCTGTGCTGCCACCTAGAGGGACGCCGGCTTGCCGAAGCAGGTGGAGAGCCAGCTGCTCTCAGGAAAACCTACAGAGCTCTCACTCTGTGCCAGGCACTGCCGTAAGGGCCGAATGACCTCATTTAATCCTCACATTTACTCCGAGATGCAGGTAATAACATTATCCCTGTTTATCAGATGAGAGAATTGAAGAATCAAGAAATTAAATAATTGGTTAGTGCTCACACAGTTGGATAACATGACATATTTGAGCCCAGAGCTATTTAACTCCAGCGCTCAAACGTTTAACCATCACTTCCCTGAGTCATTGTCCAGAGGAGACCCCGAAAACCTTCCCTGAACCAGGACTGAAGGCTTTCTTTTCAGATTCACCCAAACCTAAGGATCACTCTGTCCACCTACTGTCTGAACACTCTGATCGTGGCATGTAAAACCCATCCTTTGCAGCAGAGGTTGACACGCTTTATCTGTAAAGAGGCGGATAGTAAATAGTTCAGGTTTTGCAGGTCATCTAGTCTCTTGCAAGTGCTACCTCTGCCTTCGTAATGAAAACCACCACAGATCCTACGTAAACAAATGGACGTGGCTGTGTTCCAATAAAACTTTATTTACAAAAACAGCACTGCCTGCAGTGTGCCAGCCCCTGCTCTGTGGTGCTCTAGGGACCTCCTCTGCACACTCAGACTCAACAAGTATTCTTATTTCCCTTTCCCTGTGTGCTTTTGCAGAGATTCACATAAGAGGGACAGGACTGGGTCAGCAGCAAGAGAGATTAGCGTTAGCTACGTCAACGCTAACAGATTTGAAACCCTGGAATGGATTACCAAAGATGTCTAATATTCTGATTCAATATGACAGTAACTGTTGGGAAAAATGAATCTTTTCTTTCCTATTCACTGTTGCCAGGCAGTTTTGGTTATAGTCCTACTGGAGGCAGGGAAATGAGATAGCTTCCAGAGTGGTCTTTCCATCCTCAATTCTCTCAAATTATTCCAGTTACCTGGGAATAGAGTAGATTATGCTTCTTGCTCTCACCTGGAATGCATTGAGTAATGCAAAAATAACGTGCCACACCGGATTCAGGCTGTCCACCATCGTCCCAATGCCAAAGCCCCAGGTGAGCCCCAGCAGAGGAGTCAGAATGAGGAGGCTCCTCCCCACGCGGACGACAGTGGCCTTGTGGTCCTGACTCAGTCTTTCTCCGACGGTGGGCCTCCAGAGCTTTGTGAGAACGAACAGCACCACAACCAAATTCACGGCCACGACTGTCAGCGCAGGAACGGCGAAGGCCAAGAGGGGTTTGCTCCCATCGGACCAGTCAAGCCAACAGGCATCTTTCCTTTTGTAGCCATTGCTGGGCTGAGTAACGGCAATGGTGACGATGGAGATAATGAGAGGGCACCCATAGCCCAGGCAGAAGCCGATGGCCACCATCCAAGGCGTGGCCACGTGATGGAACACAAGGATAACCCGATAAGCCAGCAGGAAGGCGAGCATAAGCATCCAGAAGAACAAGGAGAGGTAGAAAAAGTGTGTGAAGAACACTGCGGCCACGCAGACTCCAGGAGGGTTTGCCGTGGAGTCCACGATGGCAGCGACGATAAACCAGACGTCGGCAATCAGGAGGCACAGGGCAATGTTCACCATGCAGATGTGGCGGGTGTGTGAGGTTTGGCTCCTGCTGACCTGCTTCCAGAACAGAGCTTCGATGATCAGGGATAAGAGGAGACTCCCAATGGAGACGCCCAGCCCCACAAAGGTGATCCATTTCACAGCGGGGACGATGGCAGGGGGCACAAAGGGTGACATCAGCACGGAGAAGGAGGTCAGGTGAGTGCAGCGGCATGTCACCGAGTCTGGAGTTTCATTCACTAGGTGGCACCCGGCATTGTTCCACTGCAGGTGGCTGAAATCCCAAAACGTACACTGAGGCTGGCTCAAGTTCGACTCCATCTTGGAAAAATTCAGGAAAATTTCATTGATGGAATAGTTTTGGATAACTGTGGCTATCACGGGCCCGTTGACCTGAACATTTCCATTTTTGGTAACGGGCAGAATGTTCCCCAGAGTCAAGGAGGCCATGCTGACGATGGTTTCTGGAAGGGGCCCCTGGAACTGGTCTGACTTAATTAACATGTGGCCTCTAATGGGAATGGAGTTATTTCTGGAGAACATTTCAGTCTCATAGATGTAACCCGTCTTTTGTTGACTTGGGGATGCTGGAATCCCTTGCCAATTAATGAATTCTCGAGTAAAATTCAGAGGCAGGGCTGTCGAAGGTACCAGAACGCTGATGTTTTCCAGTGTCTGTAGTAACTGGGAGCTGGCATTCTTTTCTTCCTGCAATAATACTGTCCAGTTGGTTACTGAGGTGGAATTAAGGATGTGGTCAGCTATGTTGATGACATTCTGAAATACAAGAATGAAAGACAGTTTGGATTTTGAGTAAACAGGTCAGAGGACTAAGAGTGGAGAGTCATGAGTATTTAGCACAGGAATATTGCCCAGGGAACTGGCTCAGCTGAGGGACATGTTAAAATTGCAATGAAGTTCAGCTCAGGTGCGCTGCAGAGTGGAAGCTTCAGGTTGAGACAGTGGGTCCACAGAATCATGTGTGTTCCAGGGTGATCATCCCCGGGCATTTGTACGCCCACCAGGGTTTCAGCTTGGAGGAGAAGGACCCTTCTCTTCCTCCTGAGATGCAAGAGTGACCGCATTACTCCTCAGGCTGAGGCTGTAAGAGGGAGATGTTACTTGTAACTGCTCTCCCATATTCTATTTGTTTTGTTAACATCTGAAGTTCTAATTTCACATCATGGACGTTCAAGTTTCTACTCATGTACTGATGACTTTTGTTTAATAGAGGAGACTATAAGGCAAAAATCCTTAAAAACTGGACAGGCAACGAGGAAGCATTGAATTGATGTGGGTTTGAAGGGTCAGTCTTAAAAGATTCTTTTTCCAAACATGCCCTCGAAAGGCACTGTTTTCTCCCACAGGACCCTCGCTCATGCCGATAGGTCTGGTTCCTAGGCATCTGTTGAGCACATCTGTCAGTCTGGCTGAGTCTTACCCTACCTGAGTTCTCTGCAGTTCTGGCCTGAATCCCACAGTGTGCTGCTTCTAGTGCCCCCAGAAACCTCTGCCTTCTTTTGGATGGTTTTTGCGGCTCTGTGTCTGCCTTTCACTTTATTTTTAGCCTTTTTGTATCATTGTGTTTTAGTTAGCCACTTATAAACAACATATGGTCAGATTTTTTTTTTAAGAGATCTGAGCATCTTTGATTTAGGGAATTTAACGTATTTACATTTAATGTCATCTCTGACGTTACGTTCACCTTATATAGTTAAGCACAATTGTGTGATTATGTAACAGCATACATTGTATAATCCAATTTTGTAAAATATTTCATGCTAACATATAAAATGTACACATCCAAAATGTCTGGAAGGAAATTTATTTAACAAATATTTATACCTGCTATGTGTCATGTGTAAATTTTGTAGGCACTGGGGTGATTCCTAAAATGTTAGCAGTGGCTATTCCAGGGTGACCAGATTACATATCACTTATGTTTCTTTTTGCTTATTTGCATTTTGTATAGTGAATATGTCTCATTTGAAAAAAAATTTTAAAGTTAATTTTTAAATATCCAAAATAAGTTATGAATTCCATAGTCAAAAAAAACAGGGAGTTCTTAAAATATACTTGACAGAGTTTATGGCCCCAGGAAAGAACAATGATAGACTCAATATCAAATATTAAAAACTTGGCACCTGTGTCATACAGTGTCATGCAGGGCAGAGGCTCACACCTTCCCCTCGGCCAGGTGCTGCCCAGGCAACCTGCCGAAGGCAGCTCCCTCTTACTTTGAACTCACGTAATTGATCCCAGGGGTTCCTTGTACATTGTGGAGGAAGCGGTGAAGCTCACACAAAGACTGTTATGTGGCTCTTTGGTCTTTTTCAACAGCGCCCCATGAACTGGGGCTTCTGCCACTCTTCCTACAAGATTGAGCATTTATCACTTCACACCCATCAGAATGGCCATCACTAAAAAGTCCACAAAGGGTAAATGCCAGAGAGGGTGCACAGAAAAGGGAACCCTCCTATGCTGTTGGTGGGAATGTAGTTTGGTACAGTTGTTATGGAAAATAGTATGGAGATTCCTTAAAAAACTAAAAATAGACTTACCATGTGATCCAGCAATCCCACTCATGAGCATATATATGGAGAAAACTCTCATTCAAAAAGATACATGCACCCCCATGTTCACAGCAGCAATATTTACAATAGCTAAGACATGGAAGTAACCTAAATGCCCATCAACAGATGACTGGATAAAGAAGATGTAGAGTGTGTGTTTATATACATATGTGTGTGTGTGTGTGTATATATATGTCATGTGTCATATATATACACACATACACACAAGCAATGAAATACTACTCAGCTATAAAAAAGAATGAAAATGCCATTTGTAGCAACATGGATGGACCTCGAGATTATCATACTAAGTGAAGTAAATCAGACAGAGACAAATATCATATGATATCACTTATATGTGGAATCTAAAAAACTCAGACAAAGGAACTTATTTATAAAATAAAGACAGATGCGCACACATAGGAAAAAACTTACAGTGACTGGTGGGGAAAGGGGATGGGAAGGATAAATTGGGAGTTCAGGATTTGCATATACTAACTACTATATATAAAATAGATAACAGCAAGGTCCTACTGTACAGCACAAGGAACTATACTGAATATCTTGTAATAGCCTACAGTGAAAAAGAATATGAAAAGGAATATATATATATATATATATATATATATATTATATATATATATATATATATACATATAACTGAACTATAATATAGTTGTCTTGTGTACCACAACAAAACTACGAACCAACCAAATAA